AGAGAGAGAGAGAGAGAAAGAGAGAGAGTGAGAGAGTGAGAGAGTGAGAGAGAAACAGAGAATGAGAGAGAGGGAGAGAGGACATCCCATGAGAAACCTATGAACGCATGCGGCCATTGCAAAGAACTTCGCCTTGCTTGCGATAGGATCTCATCTCGACGAATACAACGCTGCGGTAACGCGTCATCATCAACAAGGCGGTACATATTGGCAACAAGAAGGTGAGCATATTCTCGCTTGACGGTTTCGCCTTGTTTTTGTGGAAAAAGGTCTGTCTACTAGGACTTGCAAACGCTAAACACGGGATCCGCGCACGCGGGGCGAAAGGGAGGGAGGCAGAATACATGAGGTGAGAATGAATTTTGTGGGGGGGTGAAAGTAGATGAATACAGATAAACGTGCACCCTCTTTCCGATCCTCGGGGATCGCATGCCCATCCTTTCTTTTTCATATGGGATCAACCTTCGAAGTTCCACTGTTGATCTAGATGGACCATCCCAGCGCATGAATTCTGAGAAGAAGTCCCGGGATGAATTCTGAGAAGAAGTCCCGTGAAGCACCATGCGCCCACTAACCCGGTGAGAGAGAGGGAGAGAAAGAGAGAACGTAAGACAAGGAGAGAAAGAGAGAGCGAGAGAGTGCGAGAGAGAAAGAGGGAGGGAGAAAGAGAGGGAACGAGCGAACAAGAGAGAAAGAGAGAAAGAGCAAGAGAGAGAGAGAGAAAGAGAGAGAGAGTGAGAGAGAGAGAGCGGGAGAAGGAGGGAGAGAGAGAGAGAGAGAGAGAGAGAGAGAGAGAGAGAGAGAGAGAGAGAGAGAGAGAGAGAGAGAGAGAGAGAGAGAGAGCGTGAAAGAGAGGGAGAGAAAGAGAGAGAGAGAGAGAGCACGAGACAAGAGAGACAAGACCGTCGTGCTCCGGAGACTCCCGCTATTATACGATACAGGATCGAATATAAAAAAACAAGGAAAGCGAAGGACAAAGGGAATAGAAGAGGTGCGCCTCAGAGTGAGTGGGCGAGAGAGAGAGGGGGAGGGAGAGTGAGAGAGAGAGGGCGAGAGAGAGAGAGAGAGAGCGCGTGCGCACGAGAGAGAGAGAGAGAGAGAGAGAGAGAGAGAGAGAGAGAGAGAGAGAGAGAGAGAGAGAGAGAGAGAGAGAG